GATCGGGTTAAATAAAACCCAACTCATACACCGGATATTCTATATTTAATAATTTAGATATTTAGAAGATTTGATTAAGATTTAGAATTATGATTCTCCTATCATCTTTGTTTGATTTGTTTTTAACTGTTTTGAATCATCATATAATACATAAGTAAAAAAAAATCAATTTTCTTTTTCTGCGTATACTGTGATTCGAAATTTTAAAAACGGACATATATTATCCAATTGACGAAAATGTGTGTTCAACGTTCTACATCGATTAAAATATTTAGACAATGATTCAGAATCATATCATAAATAAGATCAACACTAATAAAATAAATGAGTTTTTTGGCCAACGGGTTTGGCGGAACGGGTTTTTGAATCAACAATAATAAAAAGATTAAAATATCATTAATCCGCCGCTTCAATACGGATTAAATCCTTAATTTACAAAATATTCTTATACTAACTTTAAAAATAAATCATCCCGCGGTGTACCGCGGGTTAAAATCTAGTTATCTTGTAAAGTACAGTGGACATTATTTACATACATCTTATATTCTTATTAATATGAATTTGGAGTTTTAGCTAGTTCTTTACACACAATGCAAATAAGTATTATAAATTTGTGACATAATATGCATACGGATGGGGGTGGGAGCTCCTCCAAAATGAATTTTCTAAATTGGTATATTGTATGTGACGTGCTCAATTTTACTATTTTCTTTGTTTTCAACCATTACGGATATCTAAATTTTATAGAGTAGATTGATTTCAATACTAAATCGAAATGGATCTAACAAAATAAGACAAAACTCTAGAGGACATATGAACATCTCAGAAATAAAAGTTTCCCTCTAGTTTTTCCGAAACTCTCCAAAATGGTCAATCATTACAAGCCCTTGCCATAAAGACCTCCAACGTTTTTCAAAGTACATCTTTGATTCCGATTGAACACTTCAAGAAATCTGGAATTTCAATCCAAATATACACATCTTTAACGTGTTAACACTTAGAAAAGGGATAAAGTCGTTGGTAGGTATTAGAGTATGGTTTAACTAAACCATACATTGATACAGACTCTCCTTATATACTAAGTAGAATCCGGTTTACATCATACCATATCCAATTACAGACTCAATGTATGGTTTAGTTAATAATAGGATCCAATTAAAAATGAAAAGTAAGACAAAGCAAAAATTTCGTGAGGTTTTGACTTAAACAACCCACCATAATGAAAAGGAAGGCTTGTTAATTTCTTATTTATGAATCAAAAAGCGGCGACCCGAAAGCGATCGTTTCATTTTTTATAAAATCTTTTTCTTTCTAATAATATCATTTGTCCGCGTGATGTTGACAAGTTAGGTGGTAGCCATTTTTGACGGTTCATATTTATTTTTGATTAGACTTTAAATTTTGGTGAAAAAAAGAAGAAGATTTAGTCTTTAAAATTTAAAAACACCATTTGTTGATTAGAGTAAATCACATATGTTACATGGCCGTGAGTCACCTCAGGATTTGGATAAAATTCATTTATTTTTGCTTTCGGAAAAAACCCGAAAAAATAGACATCTATTTTTTTTGGCCGTTTAATACCTGTGTTTTTAAATTTAGAATAAAAATTGAACCTCATTTAATTTCGATTGCCTTTTAAAACTATCGTTTTTAAAAACTTGGTAATTTCGAACCCGAAACTTAACAGTCGTTACTGGACGTAACGGAATTATTTAACAGTGTTAAATTTTAACGGGAAAAAACCCGAAAAAACCCCATCTATTATTATTTTAGCCGTTTAATACATGTAGTTTTAAAATTAGAATAAAATTACTTTGATTATTAATTTTTGTCTTTAAAAATATTCGTGTTATAAAGATTGGTAGAATCTTACCCACGAGTTAACAGCCGTTAACACGGGTAACGGAATTTCTAACCGCAGTTAAAAGTTAACCCCACATATTTAAATGGATATATATTATTGTTTACTCAAAAATTTGAATAAATTGTCTTCGCCTGGTGGCAATAAGCAGGTTGAGTTCCCCTCTAAACCCGGGATCGAATTACACATGCCGCACCCAGTCGACGGCGCCGACGAAGTCGATCCGGCTCTCAATCTGGTGAAAAGACGCGGCGGATTGTTGTTGAGGGAGAAGATATTAGAGTTATCTATATATGTAAAGGAAGATTTGATTGACTCAAATCTCTCCTCCGATTCATTCTCAATAACTGTACAAATATCTTCTTTCTATTCTTGTGAGTATTCTCTCTGTATTTATGTAACTCTCTTCAATCAATAATCATAGTCAAATTCACAAGATTAGATGGTATGAGCCATTGATCGAAACCTAGACCTAAACACCAGCCGTCTTTCGTGGCCGGAGTTCTGTTGTCGGCGGCGTTAGAGTTTCTCTGAAGGAGAAAAAAAAATATTTTATTTTAAAAAAATAAAAAAAGTGTGATAGGTGGGATTCGTTCCCAGGTTTATAGGGGAACTCAACCTGCTTATTGCCACCAGACGAAGTCAATTTATTCGTATCGGTAATTAAACAGATAATATATATCTATTTAAATATGTAGGGTTAACTTTTAACTGCGGTTAGAGATTCCGTTATCCGTATTAACGGCTGTTAACCTATGGGTAAGATTCTACCAACCTTTATAACACGAATATTTTTAAAGACAAAATTTAATAATCGAGGTATTTTTATTGCAATTTTAAAACTACATGTATTAAACGACCAAAATAATAATAGAAGGCGGTTTTTTCGAGTTTTTTTCCATTAAAATTTAACACTGTTAAATAATTCCGTTACGTCCAGTAACGACTGTTAAGTTTCGGGTTTGAAATTACCAAGTTTTTAAAAACGATAGTTTTAAAAGGTAATCGAAATTAAATGAGGTATTTTTATTCCAAATTTAAAAACACAGGTATTAAACGGCAAAAAAAAATAGATGGCGATTTTTTCGGGTTTTTTCCCTTTTTGCTTTTATTCAGATTTCTTGTAAATATTGAACGAAAGGTATCTACTATACATTTTTGCAACACTTTTAAGGGATCCTAATCGGGTCGGATTTTGTTTCAATTTTGACCCGGAAATCTTCAATCGGATCTTCCCTTAAATGTTGGCAAAATTTTAAAACGAAATTATTTAATAAAAAATCTAAAAATATATATATTCTCAACTAATTACTATACATGAACTCTTTATATATGGCATATTCTCTACGATTTTTATAGATAAGGAAATCAAATATGATGATTTAATGCTAATATAACAAATTTGAGCTAATTTCCTAAAACCTCTCTACCTAATTTAAACATAAATATATGATTCTCATTTCACTTTTATATGATCTTATATTTATATTATTTTGAACTTTTATAAAATTTATATAGTTAATAAAATTTTCGATTTTTTTTGCAATATGCTATGATTTAATTTTTTTAAAACAGACCTATATTACTCAATCGATAAAGAAAAAAGTATGTGTACAATCTATATTAACATTTTTTAAGAACAAATTTGCGCATTTAATCAGGTCGTATTTTTTTTTTACTCTGTCCCGGAAATGAGTCATTCAGATATTTCTTTAATTTTTACAATTATCCAAAAGGGAACAATATACCACGGGTGAAATCATAAAATTAACAAATCAAAATACAATTATTTAGTATTTTAGGATACACTTATAAATTATTTTTACGGATTGGTCCAAAAACACACACTAATTTAAAAATATATATATTATGGAAACCATTTGAAAGTAAACTTTTAAATTGACTTGAATTATATGTCTTTTAAATAAAAGTGTTATTAAAAGAAATAACAAAATGATGTTTAATTTTACGGGAAGTGATTATATGGTGGGACGGGTTTGGATTGATATTAATACGGGAAATATATCACGGGTGAATTCGTAGGATTAACAAATCAAAATACAATTATACAATTTTAAACACTAAACAAAACAAATACAACTTAAAATTTCTATTTTTTAGTTACAACGCATGTGACACGCGGTGTACAACAAAAAAATATTATATACAACAAATTCATCAGTTTATAAAAAGATAAAAAATCAAATCAAATAATTAACCCGCGGTGTGCCGCGGGTCATATCCTAGTACTGTATACAATAATACAACTAATTTTTATTTGATAAAAAAAGGTATACACCTATTTTTCTTCGTGTTTAGACAATTTATAAATCTTACTAGAATATATTATTAAAAAATCAATCGAACAATCAGTTCACTATGGAGGCAATAAAGAGTACTAAAAAGAGTAGTTCCAAAAGGCGAACAAAGCTATTAGATGAATGAAGAAAGAAGAGGAAGATCGTTTAATTAAAGATTACGACGCCATAATGTCTTTCTTCATGAAATTCAAGACAAATAATCCACATTTCTAGATTTTTATAGTTTAAAGCTTACACCGTAACCTTTGTAACTCTTTATTGATACCCTATCATAAGAGATAATTACAAGATGCAAACACCAATTACAAACTAAAATAGAGATCGAGAGCTAGTTATGCACCTTCTAGACACTCATATGACCTAAGAACTCATATAGTTTGAGATCATATTAATAGACACATATCTTCTTGTTAACATCAACAATTAACAAAGCATAAATAAAGACTCAACAAACCATAAATAATAAAGATTCAGTTAACAATTGTTAGAGATCCCAATTAAGATCTTTACTAAAACACAAATTTCCAACAATTTTCTCTTTATATTTGATTCCACAATTGACAATGTTTAAATACCCAAAGAACCAAACTAAACTACTAAAGAAGTTGATGATAAAATCCCATTAGGCCATTACTGTAATTTTAGGAGGGTCGACCGGTTTACTCTGGTTAACCGATTTGTTACTGCAAACACTTTAGTCAAACTAGAGTCTTCCCAATCCTTTTGACTCTATATTTATTTTCCTAAACTTATCAAATTAGCAATTACGAATTTTAATGTGAAGATCTCTCTCTCTAGTCTCTATAATCAATGTCGTCAACACTTAGACGAATATGGAAGACAAGCAATTTCTTCGATTCTTCTAGAATCTTCAAATGCAGACATTTTCTTCCGCCGCCGCTCTCACCTCCATCCTCCGTCGTACAGCGATCTACAACGGCGGTGTTGGAATCGGAATCGGAATCCGCCGCAGTTTTTACTTTCTCTCAGCGAAACGACAAGAGAACCCTAATGTCTCTAGAAATCCCCACCCGAACAAGACTATTCTCAGATTCTTCTTGGCTCCGGTTCTCTCGTTAGACGGCAAACCTAAGCTCGATAAGCTTCAAGCCATCGGTACAATCGCCACCGCTCAAGCGGACTATATGCGCGTCATTGTTCAAGATGTACCTGAGAGTGACTATGGAGATGATGATAAGATTGGCGTTGAGTTGCTTTGTGTAGTGAGAAAGTTGTTGAAGAAGATTGGTAGGACTGTTCTTGTTGGTGATAAAGTTCTTGTTGATAAAGTTGATTGGATTGATCGGAGAGCTAAGATCATCAATGTGTTTGATCGAGTCTCGGAGATTTTGGAACCACCGGTTGCGAATGTTGATCATTTGCTGATTCTCTTCTCTCTTGATCAACCTAAGATTGATCCATTTACACTTACTAGGTTCTTGGTGGAAGCTGAATCTATTGGAATTCGAGTCACAATTGCTTTGAACAAATGTGAACTCGTCACTCAAGAGGTAAGGATGATGAATCATTAGCTCAAATCTGGTTTTGCTTAGGAAGTAAATTGATTAGAGCCATGATCTTGTTTACAGGAATTGGATTCTTGAAAGATAAGATTGTGTAGTTGGAACTATGAACCATTGTTTTTGCTTGAAAGAAATTGCATAGTTCACTACTAGTTTAGACCACTTTGATGCTTTGTACTCTATTTTAGGGATTGTTTAGAACCATAAACTTGTTTCCAGGAATTTCATATGTCATTAGTTCACTACTAGTTTAGACCATTTGCTGCTTTATAGTTTAGACTCTATTTCAGGGTTTGATTAGAGCAATGATCTTGTTTTCAGGAAGTGGAATCTTGGAAGATAAGATTGCGTAGTTGGAACTATGAACCGTTAGTTTGCAGTGTGGGAACAAAAGTCGGACTTGATGAGATTGCGTTTAACCTGCGAAATCAGACTTCTGTCATTGTTGGACCTAGTGGTGTTGGAAAGTCGAGCTTAATCAATATATTGAGAAGTAGCTATGGTGGTGCCATTAAACACGAAGAAGTGTTTAAGCCTGTAAGTTTTTTTGTGCTATTTCATTCTATAGCTAAACTTTATTTTACCATATCCCCATGACGTGACCTTTGTCATATTCAGATATTAGGATTAATGTATGATGGCCAAAAGAAGAAGAATAAAAAGAAGTGGTTTGAAGATCAGAGTGTAGGTGAAGTTTCACATAGAAATGGAAGAGGTAAACATACAACCCGAAATGTAACGCTACTTCCGCTTTGTGGAGGTGGATACCTTGCTGATACTCCTGGCTTTAATAAGCATAAGTTGCTGAAAGTAACAAAGCAAAAACTTCCCCTGTGTTTTCCTGAGGTTTGTACCCTATTTGCTTGTGCCCATTTTCCCCCATATGTGTACTTATTGATTGTGACGATAGTGTTTCTTACTCTTTCCTTAGATACGGAAAATGGTTGAAGGAGGAAAATGTGAATTCAAAAATTGCTCGCATTTAGGGGTATATGGCTGTGCTGTGACAGGTGATTGGGAAAGGTATCATTACTACTTGCAACTGCTTGAAGAGATCAGAATCGATGAGGAGTCTCAACTTAAGAAGTATGGAACCAAAAGGGAAGGTGGTGTTAGGTATTTTTCGATTTTCCTGAAACAAACAGCTTTATTTTTAGATTTGGGCCCAAATGTGGATTAATCAGGGAAGCCTTGACACAGTTTCCACATGGGGGAGAAGGGTGTGGAACAAGCGAAACCACGGATAGATCCCAAGAAGTATAGGAGAGAGTCGAGGAAGACGATGAAACAGACAATGATGAAAGAGCTCGAATTTTAAGACAGCGTATTTGACATAGAGAACAATCTAATTGTCTGAGCAATTGAGAATGAGACTAAGAGACGATGAGAGATTCAACAAGACAATGTCAACTAATGTTTCCACAGACACTTGAGTCATATAATATGTAACATGTTGTACAAATGTCTTTTGTTCTCAGCTCTTTTCTAATAGTTGACTAATCAAGGCTAAAACGACAGCAAGTTTCACGGTGTGACTAGTTTTTGTTTCTAGAATCCTTTGAAAGACAATTTAAACATATTATAGGATCAGAATTTGTTTTGTCATGTTTCGTTTTCATGTCTGAAAAGCAGTAATCATTTCGAGGTTTAATCAACACAGTTTGTCCCAAATACGGGTTCCAAAACCATGGGTCTAGAATTGAACTCGAGAGTCGCGAATACAATAAGCCATCACAATGAAAGACATGAGATATCTCGACTTGATTAAATTTACCTATTTGCTTCATAGATGGCGCAACGAATTCGACGTCTTCGTTGTGGATTCCATTAAGATCAATCTCAATGAAAAAAAACTTATATTGCTTCATTATGATTCCTAGAAACTCTTGCCTTACACATCTCCTTTACATGAAATCCGATCTTTGGATAAACCGTTCCATTGTTTGCAAGTAGATCTCACAGCTCCTAGTGATTTTATCGAAACCCTAGACAGTATCTCTTCTAGCAAATCTTGTGAAAGATCAGACATTGCCGTCGTCATTGGTTTCAAATTTAACTAAATCAAATTTTCGATTGTAACTTACTAGCCATGATCAATGATTTGGCTTTCGATTCAATCGAAAGAATTCTCATTCATGTCCAGTACAATAAACCCGAGTTTCTATTCATTAACCATATCAGATATTTTATCTCTCAAGAAATGTGAAAACCAAGTAAGCTATGTTGTTCTATAAATACTTTGGTCAAGTCTTCAATACAACAAAGCTTTTGAGTATCATATGATAAAAATATATTTAAAAAAAATCCATAATTCACTAGTCCTGTTCAATACAAAACAGAGTAAATAAATGAAAAGAAGATGATTAAAGAAACAAATAAGATACCGTTAAAAAGACTATGATAAGGTGATAGTTCTACTTCCAGGCCTTTGTTGATTTGCACTAAACTTGGAGCATAAGAGCACACAAGTGTGTGACCATACGATACATCAGCTTCTCCGAGATCCACTTTTCTCAAGTATCCATTCTCTCCAACAATGTGAGCTACGTTGCGCAAGGTATCTTTAAATTTGCTTATATCAAAAAGCACGGCAAGTTTCTTCTCTTGGTCGATGAAAAAACTTCCAGCTAAAATCTTGTACTTAGAATAAGTACTATCGAATGTTAAGAAGTTGCTCCACAAGACTTCATTGGGCTCAACCTTAGTTGTTACACGTATCTCCACCTCGGATGCATATAAAGGTCTAAATAGCACCGCAAGCTGTTCTTCTCTAATAGAAGATAGAGCCGCAATATCTGAAAATAAGAAGTTAAGTGGCAAAGGAAAACGCGGTCCAAATCTCTCTCTTGTAAAGTCAAAACAGATTAAAAATTCTTCATCCTTTGTTATCACTAGTAATTCTTCATCTATATCCTCTCCTCGACCAAAAAGGTAAGTATTTCCATTCAATGACACGCTGTGTTGAGGAAACTTTACTTCCCAATAGTGAATGTCATCAAGAACCCTCCATGAATCAGACTTAAAATCGAAGATTTCGTAATCGTCCATAATCCTCAAGATTTTGTGGTTACGGTTGTGGTCGTATCCAAAAGCATACTTGTCTAATAAGTCGTATTTAGTTCTAGGTTGAATCCACCTGGTCTGTCCTAAATACGGGTTCCAAACCATGAGCCTATTGTTGCTGACCTCCTTAGTCACCAATAACAATAAGCGCAATGAAAGACTTGAGATATCTCAACTTGATTAAACTTAGTTATTTGTTTTATAGATGGCGCAACGAATTCAACCTCTTCGTTGTCGATTCCGCGTAGATCAAAACTCATTGAACAAACCTTAGATTCCTTTATCATAAACCCTAAAAACTGTTGATTTGCTTCTACTTGACATGCATAAAATCCGATCTTTGGATAAACGGTTCCATTGTTTGCAAGTAGATCTCACAGCTGCTAGTGATTTTATCGAAACCCTAGACAGTATCTCTTCTACCAAATTATGTGAAAGATCAGACATCATCGTCGTCATTGTTTTCAAATCAGAAATTTTAGGGTTTTAATTAACTTTTACGCTTCCCCACTCTTTTAACGATTTATATATATGCATCAGATGGGCCATAATACTTAGTACGGATGGCCCATAACTGTAAAACTTCTTATTGCTTCCCGTTAGAAGTCGTGATCTCCACGTTATTTGTTCATTGGCTTAGGGCCGGTTAGGGTTTTAAGCTTAGCAACTAGAAAATTGTATAAGTATTAAGAAGAACTATTGTTTGCAGTTCTTCCTTTGCTTGATGAGATAAGAATCAGCGTGGAGTCCCAAAAATTTGGAACCAAAAGGGAAGGTGATGTCAGGTATCGTTGGAGTCTCCCGAATCAACAGCTTTGACATATAGGTACAAGTTAAGAGGCATGAGTGTTATAAAATATGAACCAGACAATATATGTTAGTTTAATGTTTGGTTTTGTCTTTTTCAATACGAGAAGGGGAAAGTAAAACCCAGTACTGGTGTTGTTCCATAAATACTTTGGTTAAGTCTTCAATACAACAAAGCTTTTGAGTATCATATAAAAAAAAAATCATTAATTGACTAGACTTGTTCAAAAGAAAACAGAGTAAATGAACCAAAGAAAGATGACGAACAAAACAAATAATTTACTGTAAAAAAAACTGGTTAATAGTCTCGATCTTTTCTTTTTCCCGATAAGCGATAGTTCTTGGCTTTGGTTGATTTGCACTAAACTTGGAGCATAAGAGTACACTGGTAGGTGACGATACGGCACGATAGCTACTCCCAGATCCACTGTTCTCAAGTATCCAGTCTCTCCAATGATGTAAGCTATGACGTTGTCTATGCATCCTTTCTTATCAAAAACTACAGCGAGTTTCTTCTCTTGTTCAATGAAGAAACTCCCAGCTGAAATCCTAACGCTAGAACCAATAACTGTTAAGAAGCTGCTCCACAACACCGCATTGGGCTCAATATAATCTTAGTTGTCACCCATATCTCCATCTCAAATGCTTCCCAATTATAAGATAACACTGCCAGTTGTTCCTCTCTAATAGAAGATAGAGTCACAGTATGTAAATGACAAGCAACTTGAAATGGTAGAGGAAGACGCGGCCCTAATCTCTCTCTTGTAAAATCAAAACAAAGTAAACATGATTCAGCTAGTACTCCCCCTATTTTCTCTCCTCTATGGACAAAATAAGTATTTCCCTTTATTGACATGCTACATGCCCAATAATTTATATGCGTGTCCGGAATGATATCAAGAACCCTCCATGAATGAGATTTAAAATCGTAGATTTCGTAGTAATCAATTTCGTCATACCTCAAGATTTTGTGGTTACGGTTGTTATCGTATCCGAGAGTATACAAGTCGAAGCAATCGTAAGTATTCCTAGGTTGAATCGACCATATTTTTCCCAAATACGGGTTCCAAACCGCGAGCCTAGAGTTGATCCCCATAGTACTCCTCATTACCAATAACAATAAGCCATTGCAGTGAAAGACTTGAAGCATCTCAACTTGATTAAACTTATCTATTTGCTTTATAGATGGCTCAACTACTTCGACGTTGTTATTTTGGATTCCATGAAGATCAAATCTCATTGAACAAACCTTAGATCCCTTTATCATGAACCCACAAAACTGTTGTCTAGCTTCTGCTTTACATAAAACCCGATCTTTAGATAAATCGTTCCATCTTTTACAAGTAGATCTCACTGCTCTTAGAGATATTATTGAAACCCTAGACAGTATCTCTTCTACCAACTCCTCCGGAAGATCAGATATCATCATCGTCGTCTTCAAATGGAAATTAGGGTTTGACCTATCACGTCTTTTCAACACTTTTACGATTTGTTATATATATGCGTCAGATAATGAACATAACTTTGAGCCCATAATTCTTAGCAGTAAACACAAAGGGCCCGTAACTCTAATCTTTAGCTTGCTTCCCATTTGAGTATATAACACACCTTATATGCATGCGTTCATATTACTTCATAAGGAACAACAATTTTTGTAAGATTATAAGATTCACAAAGAGAAGAATAGAGACACAAGACAAAACACAAAGATGTCACCTCTCTCTAAAACATCTATAAAACGCTGTAGATAATGTTATGTGTTTGCTACTGTGATAACCATGCACATCTGCCACGTCGTACACATCTCCTAGAATATCTCTCTAAAACTTGACATACCTCTCCCGGTCATGGTCTCGTGCATTCTCTCGGAAAAAAATCATATGGAATTGCATTGAGAAAGAATCCCAAGACAGTAAGTCCAATTAAATTGTTTAAAGCTTTGACCCAAAATTATTTTCACAATTATGAAGATCATCACACAGAAATTTAACAGTTACAATTATTGTATAGTACTAGAAATCTTAATTATAGTCCACGGGAGCAAGTTGCAGTGTGTGGCTTCTGCTTATGTACTTTATATACTTGGATTTGGAGCATTGTAACACACTTGTGAAAACCATAATTGACCAATCTTGATCAAAAGAAAACAGAATAAATGAAAGAGAAAAAGATGATGAAAGAAACAAATAATGTACTGTACAAAAGACTAGTTAATAATCTCGATCTTTTCTTTTTCCCGATAACCGATAGTTCTTGGCCTTGGTTGATTTTCACTAAACTAGGAGCATAAAAGCACACTGGTAGGTGACGTAACGGCATGACATGTACTCCGAGATCCAATTTTCTCAAGTATCCATTATCTCCAATGATGCAAGCTATGTTGCCAATGGATTCTTTAGGAAAGAATATATCAAAAACTAGGGCGAGTTGCTTCTCTTGGTCAATGAAGAAACTCCCAATAAAAATCCTAGTTCTAAAATCAGTAACTGTTAAGAAGTTGTTCCATGACACCGCATTGGGTTCGATTTTAGTTGTCACCCATATCTCCATCTTAGATGCATCCCGATTATTAAATAACACCGCAAGATGTTCATCTCTAACAGAGGAGAGAGCTACAGTATAAAACTCAGCAACTTGAAATGGTAGAG